ATACATGTAGTTATTGTCCTTGTTGTTTTTGTTACATACATGTAGTTATTGTCCTTGTTGTTTTTGTTACATACATGTAGTTATTGTCCTTGTTGTTTTTGTTACATACATGTAGTTGCTGCTTTCGTTGCTGTTATTGCCCTTGTTGTTGTTGTTGGTATATACATGTAGTTGTTGCTTTTGTTGCGGTTATTGTCATTGTTGTTGTTGTTGTTACATACATGTAGTTGTTGTCCTTGTTGCTGTTGTCGTTGCGGCTGTTGTTGTCATTGTCATTGTTGTTACTGCCATTATTGCATTGTTATGCTAGCTCTTTTCGTGTCCTGATGACCACAACTGCAGAAATAAATACGGTTTAATATAACGGGAAGTAGCTCTCTTTCATAACATACATTCTTACAGATATACCAAAAATATATCTGATAACTACTAAACTTCGTAATGCCTTTCTTAATTAACTCACGCACTCATTTATTTGTTCTGATGTTCTCAGATCCATTTATTTATTTATTAATTATTTTTTACTTCTACGGTCCTGCAATGCTTCATGCAATGGACTGTCGTAAAAAACCTCAGCAAGGTAGTGTGGAGTTGAGAGAAGGTACACATATGCCCTGGACATTATTCTTTTGTTTCTTGAGGTATGACGGAAATACTCGAAGGCAAGACGTAAAGCAACAGGGCTAAGGTGGAAAACGAACAATGTTTATTCGAAAAGCCAAGGCTTGGACTGGCCAAAGTATGACAAAGTGCATGATGCGGCTAGCGGCCGTGAGCAATGGCGAGTCGTTGTACGTCAACCTCTGAGCCATAGATGACATCTCCGCGTATTCGTCCAGGTATATCAAGATTGTGTTGAATAAATAATATGCTGGTGTCCAGTCAAATTTGAAAACAATTTCATTTCTGTTTTGACAGATGCTCTTTTCTCTTTAAAAAATAGGGCGGTACTTTTGCATATCATGCAAGACACCAGTACAGTAGTGCATATGACCATGCTTGCGTCCCGTATGGGCGCATTTTCGAAATTTGAGCAATTTTAAGAAACGTTCTAAAGCCATTAAACCCACATAGTTGGAGCCCATTGGAAATGGGTGGATAACACGACACAACGTTCTGCCTTCTGACCAACTTCTAAATTTCAAAAAGTCGTTAGATCTATACATGATAAAAACAATAAAGATACTAAAGTTCTAGATATTGTCAAGAATTTGGTCAAAGTGAAGACATATTATAGAATCACATGTTCTAAAAATACGACCTAAATAGTGACTGGCTCAGACATATAAACAAGAGACTGATTTGAGAATGGTGTCAGTTTCTTCTAGGTTGAAAACTCATATGAAAATACCTTCCCCTCCCTGCCCTTCTCTTTTGCGTCAAGTATTGAAATAAAAAACAGTCCTGCTTTGACCAGAGTCAGGTGTCTTTGGTGTTAATCATAATACACCAAATGATTGATTAAACGCCACGATCTGATGCAGAGTGCATACTACCAATTGAATCTAATTTGACCTAGCCAGGTTTTCCATCGTGGGTGGGGCAAAAGCTAACATTTTGGCACAAATAGACAGAATTAAACTACCCGTAAATTCGATTGCGACTTTCAAATCCATACGTGTTTGTTTGTTTTTCAAGGTCGAGGGCCAGAATCGGTCGTATTGTGCAAAAATTCCGGCTTTTACCCTACATTGAGAAAAAATCTGGCAGGCTCCGACTCAGCTCAATTGAATCCGATTGGCAGTGTGCACTGGGTAAAAGTGACGTCACCAAGTACATGAATAATAATAGTTCATGTCAAGGGGAGGCTAGGCTAGTACAAAAAGACGAGGAGGGGGTCACAACTCTGCAAACAAACATGTCGTCCAGCTACACGTCTGAGCGTGTCACGTCAGCGTGTTTGTCGGAGTCGCCGTGATTGGAAAGGGAAACAAGCAAACACGGCAGACGTGTCAATGGCCAGTCATCAGGGACACGTTTAGCCGCCAAATCTCCGGGCCGGCTTCAGAGGTTTCGGGCTCCATTCCGGCGTCGTCACTGTCGTCAGGGATAGGTTACATGCCATATATACACATGTATATAATGTATAAAATTGTGTCAGGCACGAATAGGCCAACTCTTAAATTTTCTAAACCCTGATGCTTGACTGTGCTGTAAAACAAGGTCAAACACACCACCTCACCTTTATAAAGTTGCATTTCTAGGGGTTTTGTGTGATACAGTTGAGCAAAATTTGAGTTCACGTGGTCTGATATAATTTAGTTAAACAGTTTTAGCCTTTTCGGTAAAAGTGGCACCCCCCTTAGCGCACACTATATCTTTTACAACCTTGCAGAAACTAGTTATCTGCTCCTAGTATGGTCTCAGACTCACACATTCAAAGTCTTTTCTTTCAAGTACTCACATGACCTGATTGCATCGAGAGTACCGTAAAATATAATGTATAAGTACTCTTTTAAACGAGACTCGACGACCAACCGACATAATATAGGGTTGTCATCATCGTTCGCCACTTTCACTTTGGCATTGTGAAAAGTCGCAAAAGAACCCCCCAGTTGTTCCTCTTCGGGGCGATCTTCTCCCACTCCAGTCAGCTGTGTCACATAATAATATGCCTGAAATCTGCCTCTAGATCTCGCATCCAAGTGAAGCTTGGTCTTCCTCTCTTTCTCCTGCCTTGGGGGTTCCATCTTAAGCCTTTCTTGACACGTCATGGGGCTGGCTTCCTGAGTGCGAATCCAATTCATCCGCATCGGACTTCTTATTTTTAAACTCATGGTCAGTTTGCAGTTGTTTGGTTTATATGAGTTTGGGTACATCGAACAAGTAGGGTTAGGTTATTACCTTACGTCAGTATACCAATTTGGTGAAAATTCATATCATATCCCTCCAAATCACCGGCATCAGCGATTGAATGTTTCGCTGCCTCATGCAAAAGGTGTGAGTTCGATTCCCGTGTAGGAAGAATTTTCATCGAATATTTTGAGGACCGTTTCTTCTGAAAATGCTTCGGTTTTCTGGTGAGACGCTCTGCAACTAGCTTTTTTTCTAAGGTCGATTTTACGACATTCTGTGGTAACTGATCATAGAGTCGTTGAACAAAGTAGAAAAGTCATACTACCTTTTTACAGAGTTGACTAATGAAAATATTTCCTTACGATATATTCTGTTCTTAAACTAATGACCTACAGAGTGGCAACGAGAGAGAG